TGTCTGATGAGAATCCACTGAAGTTAAATGATTTGTAATGTTCGAATTTTATAAATGCTCCTGTTCAAATATCTTCAGTTTTCCGATTGATAAGCATTATAACAATCACAGTTTTTGCTTCCAAAGTTCATAGCACACTGAATGTAACGAACTAATAATAGATACTCTCCTCTTGGCATGTTGCATTGGTTATATTTATAGGAGTGGGAAGGTTTTCTAGAAAATTCAGTCTTATGTAACAACACTGGTTAAAGTGTTTACGTATATAGATATATTGTTGATTCTTACTCTTCTACAACTTTGGAGAATAGGCGGGAGTTTCACAATACCTATCTAACAGTATAAGCTATGTATGTTTCTAAATATAAATTTAATCTAAACATATTCATAGTCATATTCATATTAAAATAAATACATAACAACATGAAAAGCTACAAGAATTCGGGTTTTTTATCAAGCATAAAGATTTAGGTTTTTCACCAAAATATTTTTAGAAGAAAATATATTTCAACTAGAAATCTGAATATAGTTTACTTGAACCATGTTCCACAAAAAAAAAAAGAATTGTCAGTCATGTTATATTTCACCAAAAGTGATTGAAATATTTTTTTAAATATCAATTTTACTCTGAAAAAATAAAAACTGCCTGAAACTTTAAATTCGTTAATTTCTCTCTTCATAAATTTATGGTATGATTATGATGATAAAGTGCATGATATATTGGTAGCCATATTGCTGTTTATGTGAACTTTTGTGTTGTTGGAAGTTTATAATATTTCCAGAATAAAATAAAATAAAACTGATGATACCAGTACTACCAATATTTACCATGAATTGGTTTTAGAAATAAAAAGATTAAGTTTAATTCTAGGCTTCTCATTATTTTTGATTGACTCTAAAATATGTATATATATTTTTTTCTTGTATGATACTTGTGTTTGATAATTACTTTATGTTTTTAGGTTTAATTTTATGAAAGAAGGATTGGGACAAAGAATGAACTAATTTTGTTATTGACTATAAGAATAGGGCTTGAAAAATGTTTTAAAACTCATAGTATCATGGCTTATGTTATTTAATAGCATATCAATAGTATACTTACAGTTCCTCCTCTAGATTAGTGATCTGTTTAGCTGTACACTGTTTAGATATGATTTGAATGAGGACACAGCCCATGTTACATACCTCATTGTAGTATTTATTATCACTAAGCACAATAGTGCTTAATGTGTAGCCCCCCAGTGGCACAGTGGTATGTCTGCGGACTTACAGTGCTAGGAACCGGGTTTCGATACCCGTGGTGGGCAGAGCACAGATAGTCCATTGTGTAGCTTTGTGCTTAACTTCAAACAAACAAGCTTAATATGTAGGGATGGACTGGGAAAAAATGGCTGATGCCTATTATGTATTGTTCTTCATTGCCTCAAATCTCTGTCATAACAATCTAAGAGGCTTTTATAAACAACTAACTTAGGGTTTCATTTTCAAATGCTATTAAGATCTTCATTTTAGCCAAAAAACGTTGCTAAAGTAGAGAACCAACAAGTAGATTAACAGCCAAATGTTATGCTGATAATTCTGATTCTGATTTTAAAAGGGCTAGCTCACCAGTTCTTGAAGCTGTTGCAATGATTTACACATCAAAATGTTGCATTTTAACTTGGGGAGTGCAGAAGCAGTATAGCATTTTACTAACTTCAACACATAACCTCCATCATGCCATGCTAAAACTGCTGCCTTCATGGCAACTGCCATTTGTTGTAAAATATTTATTAGTATTGTTTAAACAAATTCAGAAACAAGTAATGAAAAAAGAAATTTTGAAAAAAAATAAGGATGATTTAGGGATGGCAATGCCAAAAAGTATAGAAATAAGATAGGGATAAATACACAGAACCATACAAAAATCCCTAAATAAGTAGCCACTGAATCAACATTAAAAGCTTATTGGTATTAGTAATTGTGAGACTGTATAGCATTATTCAGTTTAAATACTTTTATTCACACCTGAATTCATGCAAATAAAAAGAATTCAACATTTAGTTGTAGATAAAAGTTTTTCTTGGAGAGATTTGGGATTTTTGTATTGTTTTGTGTATTCATCCCTACCTTGTTTATGTACTTTTTGGCATTACTATCCCTACATCATCTTTATTTTATCAAGTTTTTTTATTATTATTATTGTTATTTACTTTTTGATTAATATACATTAACATATGGTCACATTGTGGTCATCCAATTACTTTATGGTACCTGAATGTACGAGGTGCCACAGTACAGTGATAGTAAAGATGTTGTTTTTTCAAAACATGACTTAATGTGACTCTTCAAAAGAAATCAGGTGGAAATGTTGTGTTTAATGCTTTAACAAGAAACAAACTAAACAAACCCAACTGTATGAGATGTAAAAGCTACAAAAGGTAGAATTTTCAATTTTGAAGAGGAGAACTGCAGTTGTTGCTCTATAATAATAATAATAATAATAATATGGATATTAGTTCTCTTCAGTTATCCATCCAATTCCAAATGAAAACGAGTGCACTAACAAAAGCAAACCAATTAGTAAATAAGTTAAGGAGTTGTATCAAGTTGCTCTAGCCCATATTTGCCAGAGGGTGCAGATTGGGATTGTTACAACTCTGGATTTCAAAGCTGGGTTTGAATCCTAGCAATACCACAGAATATTTTGCACTTGAAGCTGTTTGTATGTAATAAGATTCACAGTTAATCCCTTAATGGTAGGGTGTTGGTGACTGGCTGCCTAATCTTTGTTCAGTAGTTTAAAATTAAGGATTGCAACAGATAACCTTTGTAGCTTTGCCATAAATACAGAAACTGTATATGTTCAAAGGCCAGCTGCAAATCTACAGTCTGTATATCCACTGTATATAATTCTTAATTTGAATATTAGAGATTTTACAAAGTTTTTGTATGGTAATTATTAAATGACTTGCATAATATATTTTCTTTTATCAGTTTGAACTATGCCAAGAACACCTTTCCAGACAGCCAACCAACTATTATTTATGGAAATGGTGATGGAACTGTCAACCACAGAAGTCTTTTAGGATGTCTACGCTGGATAGGAAATCAGAGTCAGAAAGTTTACCATAAGGCGTTTGAAAATGTAGACCACATGGGTATCCTTCGTCACTCAGCAGTTTTAGAATACATCAAATACTTAGTTGTTGGTGTATAATGATTACAACTACCATGGAAAAGACAAGTGGTGTCAGTTAAGCATAAAAAATGGCTCCTTTTGTTTTTATATTCTTTGTTTAAAAAACTGTTTAACATTCTCTAACTTAACAATAAAACTGTGCTGTGTTTGTTTAGCTAGTAAAATTAAAACAGGGTGACATTTTGATTGCAGTAATTATTTTTAGTTTCACTACTATGCTACTTTTGCTCTATCTAAAAGGTATGCAATGTTAAAATGATTTTGAGCTTTTTCTTTCTCCCTATATTTAAGTAAATATGGTAAAAACAGCAACTATAATAAAACAGTAACTATGGTAAAGTAACTAGAAGTTATTATTGCTACGTACAAAATATAAAATACATTTCATGCAGTGTCAATTATTTACAGGTAACAAAATTCAAATTTCCATAGTTTGATTTTTACTGGGAGCAAGTAATATAAACTTAATTTGCACTTTAAACTGAAAAAATAAAGTTTTTGTAATAGAACCTTCTGAAGAAATATATATATGATAAAGACTATATAAAGATTTTCTTTTTACATTTAGTATTTTGTAACAAATAAATTCTATAATTTTTCTTATGAACAGTTTTGCAGCATTTGTTAGTAACTGTGGAAGATGAAGTTAGAGCTAAACTGGGGAAGTTAAATAAACTTTAAAATACCATGGGAATTTGCTCCAGTTACTTTTTTGTCTCCAGTTATGTTTATTTTGTGCAAAGTTGTAAAAAGAGCAAAAATTAAAACATGTGGAATATACATACAAATATGAGGGTAGTAAAAAAAATACAGAATTTATATTACAAGAGAAAAAACTTTTAAAGATTCAGCAAGTGAGTTTGCACCTTGACTAGTAAAATTTTGAATTTAAATTTTTACATAAATTTAAAAAAGTTATATGATAAAATAATATAATCTACTTCAGAAATAATTTCTCATTAAATTTCCTGAATTTCTAACGTGGTTTGCAGCTGATCAGATTATACATAATCATTTATTATTTTATAGGTAATAAATATTTATGAGGACACATTACCACAGGTTCCAGAGTGTCAGAATAATTATTAGAAAAAAACTTATTGGTACTAACAAAAAAAAGTTTGTGGCCATTATATAGTGTCATAATGCATTAAAAGGTTCTGGTTTACTGGTGAAACTTGTTATCAAAAACATGTTAAATTTAAACATATGTTAGCAGATGTAGCTGCAGTATGTTGAAATTGTACGATTAATTTTAAAAGAGAGTAGCTGTGCCTTTCATTCTTATTACTTGTTTTAGTAACTCAAATGAGCTACATGTGCAAGTCATATTACCAATGTAACAGTAGTGTTATCAGGGGAGATTAATATATTAGAAATTTGTCCTTTTTTCCCCTTAAATATAAATTTCTTTAAATTTTACGTTAATATTATTGCTACAGAAATAGTAATGAGGTATTTTGGTTAGATATTACAAGTTTTAATTATGTTCCCTGTGTCTTTAATTTTACATCATTAATTTTCCTTTCTTAATGTGTGTGAAGACTAAGTTAATGATGCATATTAAAGTAGGTTATTTTTTATTATGATGACATTTGTAAAAACATGTTTTCTCATATACCACTTTTTAAGCTGTATTCAGAAGTAATGATTAATCTAAAATATATAGAAGTTTTATATTTAAGACACTACATGTTTTTTGATACTAAGGGTATAATTACATTTTTAATTTGACAAAATATTCATTGTAAACATAGGGGTTCTTTCTTAACTCTGAAAACAAAATTTTTATAGTTTTAAGTTATTTTTATTTCTGTAGCTTTAAGCACTAATGTTGTCATGTAAACACTGGGAAAGATAAGGTTGTGTCCATACAAAGAGTCCAAAGGTTGAAATTGGATGCAAATTCACTGTGTAGATGCCAATATAATTATGGAGTAGTTTTATATATAAAATACAGTCTTTTTCTAGTACAATATTTTAAAATATCTATTTTTCCAATATTTGGAATATATATACACACACACACACAGTAATTTAACACAGACTCTCTTTTTTTTTAATTTTTAATCCTATAAAAATTAACAGTTCATTATGTTTTAAATTTGAATTTCTAATGCTTAACTGTAGGTTGTGTGATATTAGAGATTTGTTTGAAGAATCATAGATCATCGAATGTTTTGTACATAATTTGGCATGGATATTATGAATGACTTGTGATTGTGGATGTGCTTCTTTATACACATGTATTTTTCATTTTTGGTTACACCTGAAAGAACCATATTTTTGAGATAGCTAATAAACAGCTATGACCTTAAAACAGGGAGAATATTTAAGATGCTACATATTAACATGAAGCCCAACTTATCAGTTGATTCACTACTTGTGAAAGTTGTACAGGTTTTGGGAAATTCCACCCCTTAACAGTAAGACTGGGCTTTTTGTAGTGGTGAACTGTATGTTATATGCATATAACATAAGGAGTATGTTTACTTGTGATTAAAGCTCTGAGAGTAACACTTATATCTTTATCTTTTATAAACTAACACACACACATATATCTAATTTTTTTAATAATACTAAACATTCAAACAATATTTACAAAGTTATTATGCAGAAACATCATCCAAAACTTGTGTTTTTTTGTTATACAATAATATATTAACTGCTCAACATATCTTACTTAGTCTATAGTTTTAAGAAAAGTTGTGATGGCTAAAATTTTTATATGAAATTTTAAAAAATGGTGCAACTTAATTACAAAACACTTGACCATTTCATTCATAGTTGCCAAATGAAAAACAAAGTCAACTCGTCATTTGAAAATTAGTAATAGAAAATTTAGGAAAAAATAGTGTATAACATTGCCTAAAAAGTTTATAAATGATTCACTGGATGGATAACATTTGTAATAAAATTGGTGGTGAAATGCTTTGAACAACATTTACCAAAACATTTATAAGTGATTCACTGAATAGATAATATTTGTAACAAAATTGCTGATGAAATGGTTTGAACTTGTATAAGAAGTTTTTATTGGTTCTGATTTTTCATTGACAAAAAGTTAGGTTGCTGTCCTCATAGTATTTTAAAAGATTCATTAAACATACATTTTGTTTGTGATTCATATTCAAATGTATTTTAACAATTATATGCATTTTGACAAGTAAACTGTGGGAAATTAGAATGTTTTTCTCAAATGAGATATTGCTGATTTTTAACACTCATTTATGCCCTTGTGGTAGTCTTAAGTGTGGTGTGAACCTTCACATAGATTTAGAGCTAGGATACTTATAGGGCATATACAATTTTAATATTTTTTTATTACTCTGCTCGTGTGCTTTCCAAATGTATAAGGCATTTCATTTTGAGTAAGGGGAAGATAGTGAAAAAAATTCAAAGCAGGAAAATATTTCTTTTATTGTTCATCATTTTATAAAAAATAAATTATTCTGTTGTTATGCTAGAATCTGTGGCAGCAAAATGCCTTGACATTAACAATACCCTTAATTTTAAGTACATAAGGATAGTTTAGCTTTTGAAGATGTAACCAGCAACTGGATGTTACATACTCAGCAGTCAATTAAGTAATTAGATTAGGTACAACTGGAAATTTCTGGTGTTAGTGGCAGTGGCTTGAAATAATCTCAAAGTAAGGAGTCACAATTTGCATGAAACGGTTTGAAAACTATTTATCAGTAACAAGTCAGATGGTGAAGAGAAATGAGATTAGTTCTTGTAACTAAGAAAAGTGTCTTGCTAGTCAGAACACTTATTTCTGTGCTGTGTTACATTTATAGTACAATTCATATTATGTATATCTGTATTATTTGACAGTCTTTTTGCCTTGTACTTGGTTGTTTCACAAACTAGGACTAACCTGTGCATTTGTTGTTTTTAACTCTTATTGTTTGCATGCGTAGTTGAAACATTGGATTTTTGAATAGTTTTACAGACGAGTGATTTTAAGAATGTATAGTTATTTGAGTTAAGAACACATTTAATAAAATATAGTTTGTGGGGGTTTTTAAGCGTAATGATTTTTTTAAAACTATTACTCATGCTGCAATTATAAAGACTATGATCTTTTTAAATTGTTGCACAATTTCTTTAAAATAATGGAATGATTTCAGTCATTTCCCAGTTAAAGCATTCACAAATATTAGTTTGAATGAAAAAAAAATCATGTTCTTGGTTAATATATTCTTTAAATAAACCATGGATAGTAATGACATTGAAAGTGCAACATTAAATTGAGTCACCATAGAACTCTGTACTTTACTTGGTATCTTGTGTGACATTATATCTCAAGAAGACGTTACATCAAAACAAGGTGGATAATAATTTTTAACAAAAACATTAATCTTGTTTTAATGTAATGTCATACAAAATACCAATCAGTAGATCTTGATTTACTGGCATAAGATCTTATGTACCATAATAACATTATTAAATTCAACTTGTGTTCCAAAATGTGTTAATGCTGAAGTAGCTAACTATACAGTATGTTGCAGGAAGAAGTATTTTTAAGATAAAGCTCTCAGATGTTTTAAATGTGTGTTGCTTTTTTTTTTCTACCAATGTTTTATTAAGCCTGTCGTAATTGTAATTTTTTGAATAGATAGGAGAAAAAAAAATTCATTTTAACTATGTACACAATACGTGCTTTGAAAAGCTCATGGACTTGGATGAAGTCATATTAACATCTTGATAGATGTTGTTTAATTTAAAACTTATGATCAGAGAGATTAATTAAATGTTTGGGGACTTTAAGCTTCAGGAAAGGTTGTTTTGGCACACACTTTAATTATCTTCACATTTCCTGTATATTGAGTAATTCATTGAGTTTTTTGTACAGAGAGTATTGCTTCCAGTCTTAAAATCTTGTAAAAAAGTTGTCAGGTTTTTGTTTTACTCTTAAAAAATGTGGTATTACCACATTTCAGTTTGGAATTTTCTATGGAGAAAGGGTATTCCTTCAAAATGTCTCAAAGTTTACAAATTTCAACTTTGAGATAAGTAATGAAATGCTAAAACATTTTTTGTATGTGTGTATCTAAAAATAAACATAATACTGGGAGAGTAATTTGCCTACAAACTTGACACTGAATAAGGAAATAATTTTATTAATATCACAGTAATGATTTAAACCCTCTTGGATTTGGCCATGAATCTTGCTCTCCTTTCAGTATAGATTTTTTATTAAAATTAGTTTGTAATCAGCACCCATTACCTTGTGTTAATTTTGTTACTTATCCAGTAAAAAATAGAGCAAGTCGTTTTTCTTTCTGTAATATTTTAAAAAATGATGTTTTATTTACTTGTTCTAGTAAATGTTCCTTGTGTCTAAGTTGAAGGAATCTTAAAATAAATTCTAGAATTTTCACTGTATCAGTAGTGGTTAACATAATACTTTATATTCAACTAATTTTGAATTGTTTATTTATACATTTTTGTATGATTTTGAACCGCTTCTAACCAAAATATTAATAAATATTATTAATGACTTCCATTTAAATAGACAACTTCAACCAAAACATGGTAACCCTACTAGCTTCAAAACACAAGTTGGTAATTCAAAAAGGTATATTCAGTACTTGTTTTGAATGAAAATGAATAAAAATGCGTATGTTTGTTCTCGGAATTATCGGGTTTTCAAGTTTAATCATAAGCAGAAGCGCCAATTCAAGCGCATACATAGTGTGTTCCTATCTTGAAGTTTTCATGAATAATCTGTATGATAATAGTTGACATTCAAGTGTTAGTATCAGCTCGTTAAAAGTGTCGTTATTATTACCCTGTGGTAGTTAAGTAGCGGTGAGAGTTACTGATCTGTTCACTTTATATAGTGAATCTAATACTCCCATCCTTGTTGATTGTGATTTTTGTATGTAAAAAAGGGTAAATACTCAAATCCAAATCTTTAAAAGGAGGTTAGTATTCATGAGTCAAGTGGGCAACATTTTACTGAAATCTCATTTTGGTATTTTTACTTGTAAAAGAAGTTGCGTTTTGGTCGGGATCAGCGAGTCTGTTTTCATGTGCCATATACTTAACGATGTACTCCAAAATGTTCATAAAATAGCTATCTATAATCTGGCTAACACTGTGTAGTGTCGAGTCCAAAGTAGTGCCGAAAGCGATGCCACCTTTCTTGTTTTGTGTTTCATATATGCTCTGCTGCACGAGAGAATTCCCCCTCTTTTGTCCAATACCATTCGCTACTACCTACTGAATGATTTAGGGAGGCCTTCGGAGCTAACGAAGATAACCCTCAAATATCTTTGCGAAAGTTTTTTATTTATAAAAAATGGCTTTATGCAATATTCAATCAAATGTCACAAATGCTTCAAAGTATAACATTAGAAATCAGCTAGAACAATTATATCTAATTTTTTCTCTGTTCACGAGAAGGGGTTCTGTCTTCTGTACATTTCCCATTCAATACAGTCTTGTGGTGCTTCCTCCTCCTCACCCTAAAGCACAACCCTTCACCCCTTTCATGTCATTTGAAACTGTTACAAAACTCACAAAACAAATCTTTATAAATTTTATTAAAGAGCTTGAGAGTGAGATAGAATATGTTTCAAATAACTCTTACATAATGTAACTTACAAAAATTAACATTCATTAGCAGTAAGTTGAGGCGCAGTCTTGATTCCACCGCGTCAATGTCTGTTCTTTGCTTAGCGATAAGATTCACAAACTACTACTCACCCTTAGTAATAAAACATTTTCTTGGCAACTTAAAACTTTCCTTGGACTAGTAAAACTCATTGTAATCAAAATCTGAATATATATATATACAGATTAAAGAAAACATCGGACTTGATATGAAACTTGCACTTGCTGTATTCCACTACTCATTATCTTATTGTTTTCTACCCACTCAAAAACAATGAGTGTAATGTATCGCTATTCTGGTGCATTGAAAACGAAACATTTTCAAGTAAGTATACTATACTAAAACTGAAGATCAATCACATTCACCTACCTTAAAAATTATTCATTTAATAGATCTATTGTAATTATCATTTACGATTTTGTGCATTTCTGAGGAAGAGAATACTTATATTGTCTGATATTTGTTAACTAGAAACTGAGAGCTCTCTGGAAGATCTACATGAAAAATCTGCTTAAATCTGTTCCAGGCTGAAGAAACATAGCATTATATATAAACAAGAATAATTTCTTCCCAGAAAGCTTGCGTTATCTACGTCGTTGTTGGTAATTTCCATCGCAAAATAAGAGATAATGTAACCTTAAGGTATCACTTCACTCGTCAAGGAAAAGATCGCGTATTTCTTTTCATAGTATATTCAACTTTACAGAAATCTTACCCACAAGAAGGCGTAGATGATGCCATAGGAAAATGACCCGAAACAATAAGTAACTAGGACAAAAGGAACTTTGCCACTTCCTTAGGATGTCCACACGCTAATTATTTGTTATTGTGTTTTGTAGAACAAAGAAAGATTGTTTCTCTTTATTTTACAGTGTCCAGGTTCTTTCTTTTCATTACTCAATCAGAACCAAAGGATTCAGACTTAGTTTCACAAAACATGTTTTGTTCCAACATCTCGTTATTCAGGGGATCCTTCCCAATTATTCTTAGGAGAAATGATTGAATCTGATAATACTACAAAATCAAGTATAACATTTTTCATTGCTACTGAAAACACAGAGTAAATTACATGAATACGATATTTTATCTTTTTCATATACCATCACATCCTAGGTCTATGCCCTCGACTCAGTTTAGCCTGGACCCTTAACAACTAAGATTATTCTGAATTATATTATTCACAAACTTATTAATTTACTAATGTTCTTAAAAGCATAAAAATGGAAACAATAGCTAATTTGACAGATGGTGAATGTCTGAGCAGCATTGGTGAATATGGGGTTTAATATAGGTCTTAAGTAGAGTACAGCAAAGACAAATCAAATGAACTCAGTGTTGATTATGAATTAAACTTCTTCCAAATATTTCATTTCTTCACTAAGAAATATGGGCCCAGGTGGTTAGGGAGCTCGACTCACAATCTGCGGTTTCGAATCCCCGTCACATCAAACATGCTGGCCTTTTTAGGCATGAGGGCGTTATAATGTGATTGTGAATCCCACTATTCGTTGGTAAAATAGTAGCCCAAGAGTTGGCAGTGGATGGCGATGACTAGCTGCCTTCCCTCTAGTCTTACACTGATAAATTAGGGACAGATAGCCCTCGTGTAGCTTTGCGCGAAATCCATAACAAAAAACAAACAAAGAAATATAATGCTGCTGGTTGGTTGAAATAAAATTGTACCAAAGAACAAGGTTTTCCACACTAAGTATCTTTATTAGCTATTATTTAAAAGCGCCAAGATCTCGGAATATATCAGACAGATTTTATCTCAAAATTTCTAGTTGCCTTGAACTTTATCGCAGAATTTAAGCTTAGCCAGTCCAATACGAATGATAGTTTAGAAGATGTTTCATTGATTTAGACAGTATTTCATATTATAACAGTGAATAACATGCCTATGAAAAATCATCTTGTGGGTAGCTCAAATCAAAACCAAACGCGTTTGTTTCATTGTTGAGTTTTGTGCAAAGCTATTCGAGAGTTATTTGTGTAAGCCGTCCCAAATTTAGAAGTGATAGACTAGAGGGAAGGCAACTAGTCAACTCCATCCAGTACCACCTCTTGGGCTACTCTAATGGAATAGTGGGAATTAACGTCACCTTACAATGTCTTGGTAGATGAGGCCCGACATGGCCAGGTGGTTAGGGCGCTCGACTCGTAATCCGAGGGTAGCTGGTTCGAATCCCCATCACACC